GGAGGAAGTGCAGGTGGCCAAAATCCAGTTGCATCTGCAGGGTGATAAGTGTCACATACCAGGTGCAAACTAATGAGGAGCTGTGTCACCCCTGCCCTGAAACCTTGCTGCGGTAGCCACGAGCCTGGACTGCTCACAAACAGCCTCCCGCATGTAAGTCACTCCCAACTTTGTCTGTGTGTGCTGCAGCCAGCCAGCCACACCTGGATTCTTACCAGCTTTAAAGACTACCTCAGAATCACCCCAACACACTCCCAATCCCAGATTTTCCCTCAGAAACTTGGACAGCACAACTATACTGAGTCTGTTATTCCTTTAAGGGAATAATATGCACATAACTTGCTACTCCAAATGGAGTTACGGAGACACTTCATCTTGAATACACTGGATTCGATAAAACCATAAAACAAGTTTAACAATAAAATGCTTACTGATGCCTAACTTAAACTACATTAGATTCATAGCAAAGTTTTCTCACCACGTGCTTTCAGCAGTTTTAATGACCAAACTCTTTAGGTCAGGAGGATTTCTCCGAAGAGTCCCAAAGGCTGTTTCCTTTGTCTCTTCAGGCATAGTGAATGTGATGGATGAGGGTGGGGCAGGTACCTGGGGCGTTTGTCCCTCCCTTTTATAGTTCCAGTCCCACTCTTGAAAAACATTTCCAGCTGAGACACAGGAGACAGAAAGTCTATGTGAAAGGATATTCCCTGTTTTTTTCACCTGTTTGAATTTCCTTTGCCCCCCCACCCCACCCCAGCCCCGCCGCTTTATGACTCTGTTTAGTGCTTAAATGCAAAGTAAGGCAAGCACAAATTCCTTCCTCTGTTTAGGACAGACCTGACTTCAGCCTGGGCAGGGCTGTGGGTTTGGAACTTGCATTAACATCATCGTACAGGGGAAGTGTTGCCACACATATTCAATCAGGACAATACTGGCTAGCAAAGTATGAGTTTTCAAATTATACCTTACAAGGCATACCTTATTATACATACATACATTATTACAAAAGTGTGTAGGGTATATTCTGCCACAATAAGCAGTTGATAAATAGTACTCAATAGTGTACAGGTCCCAATATAAGAGCAGAAGAATCACAACATTTCACCTGAGACCAGAAAGGGGACAAAGGTACAGCTAGCCCCATAATTGTGACACATATTCACCAGATATTTCTACATTACTTATTTAACTGCAAATAACTGTACACCTTAATGAACACTCAGTCAGAAGTTTTTATGCTCGCCATCACACTTAATCAGCACCCCCTGTTTATTGTATAATGTACCCCCTGTTTATTGTATTATGTACCCCACCAACTAACCACCACCCTCTCTGATCTATTGTACATACTTTGAATAGAGCTCAACTTCTCTTTTCCCCTATAAAAACATGGTATTGAAAGAAAGTTTAGTGAGTTGAGATATTCTGTGTCATATCTCAGCCTGGAGCAAATGTTTGACTATTTTATAAAGTGTGACAAGCTAATCTCTACACACCAGTGCAAACACGATACTGCTACAGTGGGGACCATTTAAAAATTTTACCTTTGCTGTTTTGAGCAAAGAGAGGCCAAAAACAGAGTGAGAGAAAGTCACTGACAGAGTGACACAGCAGGGTTTAAGATGCAGGGGAATTCCAGTGAATATCTTAACTTGAATTGTCTAAAACGAATCTGTGGAATTATGGAATTCAAAATGTAATCTTTAAAATAGATATTTTAAAAAGGTACTGACTCGTTGTTAGGGCTGTAATAGATGTAAGACTAGTGTGACAGACCCAGACCAGTGGGGTACAGGAGTCTGGTAGAGGGCAAATATCCAAGTCACTGTATGAGTACTGTGCTGTGCACTGAGTGACCAGAGAAGGGGCTGCACTAGAGTAA